TCAGGTGATCATGAAGCTGATCTTCTCTTACAGTAGGAAATACTTTGCCCCCAGTCCTTGTCTTTGGCCATAGAATCATAGAATCATAGAATCATAGAATGGTTAGGGTTGGAAGGGACCTCAAAGATCATCTAGTTCCAACCCCCCTGCCATGGGCAGGGAAACCCTCCACTGCACCAGGTTGCCCAAAGCCTCATCCAATCTGGCCTTGAACACTTCCAGGGATGGGGCATCTACAACTCCTCTGGGCAACCTGTTCCACTGCCTCACCATCCTCTGAGTGAAAAATTTCTTCCTTATATCTAATCTAAATCTCCTCTCTTTCAGTTTAAATCCATTGCCCCTTGTCCTATCACTACACGCCCTTGTAAAAAGTCCCTCTCCAGCTTTCCTGTAGGCCCCCTTTTAAGTACTGGAAGGCTGCTCTAAGATGACCCCGGAGCCTTCTCTTCTCCAGGCTGAACAGCCCCAACTCTTTCAGCCTGTCTTCACAGGAGAGGTGTTCCAGCCCTCAGATCATCTTCGTGGCCCTCCTCTGGACCTGCTTCAGCAGCGCCATGTCCTTCTTGTGCTGGGGACTCCAGAGCTGAACACAGTATTCCAGGTGGGGTCTCACGAGAGCACAGTAGAGGGGCAGAATCACCTCCCTCGACATCCATCCACTCAAGAGGTATGAGAAGAGAGTTTGCCGGTGAAGACTGAGACAAAAAAAGCTATTGAGTAGCTTTTTTAGTAGTCAGCCTTCTGCTCATCCAGTGTTGCCTGTTTGCCAGTCTTGTTCACCAGAGGAGTCATGCTTTCTTTGACCATCTTTTTCTGGCTGACATGCCTATAGAAGTCCTTATTGTTCTTTGCATCCTTTGCCAAGTTCAGCTTCAGCCACACCTTGGCCTTCCTGACCCCGTCCCTAAACAACCAGGCAGAGTTCCTATACTCTTCCCAGCATAACTGTCCCTGCTTCCACTGCCTGTGTATTTCTTCCTACCCTTTAGTTTGACCAGTAGGTCTCATCTCAGCCATGTTGATCTCTTGCCTTCCTTTCCTGATTTCTTATACCCGATGATTGAGAGCTCTTGCGCTCTGTGGGAAGCATCCTTAAAGATTAGCCAGCTCTGCTCTGCTCCCTTGCCCTGAGGGCAGCTTCCCATGGGGTCCTATTGACTAACTCCTTGAACAGCTGGAATTTTGCTTTCCTCAAATTCAGGGTCCTGAATTTACTCTTCACTTGACCCACATCCCTCAAGACTGCAAACTCCACCAGTGCCTGATCACTGCAGCCCAGGGTGCCTCCAATCTTGACATCATCGGTTAGCTCACTTTCATTGGTGACCATCAGGTCCAGAATCACATCTCCTCTGGTAGCGCTATCACCTGACTTAAGAAGTTATCCTCAATGCACTCCAGGAGCCTTCTGGATTACTGACAGGTTGCTGTGCTACTTTTCCAGAAGATATCAGGGTCATTGAAGTCCTCCAGCAGAACAAGAGCCTGCAAGCATGATGCGTCCTGTAGCTCAAGTAAAAAGGCTTTGTCAATAGGCTTCCCTTGATCAAGTAGCCTGTAGTAGACACCAACCACAAGTTTCTCTTTGTTGCCTTGGTCTCTAATTCTTACTCGTAAGCTTTAACCTGCTCATGGCTATTCTTCCGAGACAGCTCTTCATGCTCTACCCATTTCTTGATGTAGAAGGAAACCCCTCCACCTCTCCTTCCTCACCTGCCCCTTCTGAACAGCCTGTAGCCATCGATAGCCACACTCCAGTCATGGGATTCGTCCCACCACGTTTCAGTAATGGCAACCAGGTCGCAGCTTTCTAGCAGCATGGTGGCTTCCAGCTCCTCCTGTTTATTGCCCATGCTGTGTGCATTGGTGTAGAGGCACTTCAGCTGGACCGTCGGCTGTGTCACCTTCTTAGAGAAACACACCTTGATAATTAAGATAGCCATCCCTATTACCCTCTGTACGCAATGAAAAGAAAGAGGTATTTTTACATTTCACTTTATCCCTCTTGTTTTAGACAGCTGCTTTAGGAAGAGGTGATTAGGTCCCTAAAAGTTCTTATTTGTTTCCAGCGGCTGTAAAGAAATTCTAAGCAACTAGTATAGGCTTCTAAATTTGATCAGACGAATAGCAATCCAGAGAAATGTTCACCTGCACAGAGAGGAATAGAATTCAGGATCATAATTCTGGAAAGAAAGTAATCTCAGTACTGCAAATGCAGCCAGCGGTGAGTATACTACAGGTGCTGTAGGTCAGTGAAAAGCAGGTACTGGCCACATTAAAGAGACAATTTTAAAAAAGCAACCTAATACCAATGATGAGCAGACATTTCTAAAGTACAGGTATCTGGCCACTGATATTTCGTGTCTAGCAAAAGCAGGTAGTGAAGTTGCATCTTCATTAACTCATTCGGATCTCCTCGTGATTCATACCACAGTTCAGGAGGAAAAGAATAGATTCAGCAGTTTTCCAGTGGATCTTAGACAGATGAGCCAACATGACTCAGACCTGGTTGTGTAAGTAAATCTTTCCATAACAATGAATATCATTCTGTAGTCTTTTATTATTCTGTGTGGGTGTTCATAAAAAAGGAACGGGTTACTTTTAGCTACGGCAATGTCCACATGCACATGTGGACAAAAACCAAAGAAAGGATAGAACATGACTCTAAAAATGAAATATAACTCCATGGCAGGAGTTGCTGCTACTCCATATTTGTAGCAGGTGAAGGACAGAACACAAGATTACTATTAAATAAATCATAATTTATTACACATGCCTGTATTTGGATGCCCAGTTAAGTGCCTAATTACATGAAAAATGCAATTGCCGTGTAAAACGATGTTAATTTTCAAGCACACCTGCTGAGCTCGGGATTGTCATTCAGGTACCTGCTCAGTTGCATGCTGTTGTGCACAACCTGTGGAAAATATTTGTGTGCCTGTCAGGAGACTGGCACAGGTTATTAGTGAAGAAATCCACGGCTTTGCAGTTTCAGCAGACAGTCCCATGGTCTATCCAACATAGCTGACAAATTTCATTATGATTCCTAACTGGATCTCTGGCAGTGCAGCTTTTTTTGTTTTGATGAGGGGATGTGCAGGGAGAGCCTTTTCTCTGCTCAGACTGTAGAAGCTTTTGATTTCTGGGATTTCATCTCCAGTTGATGAGTCCTCCGTTATGCTTACCTACCTTTTTTTTATTCTTTTCTCTACTTCCTTGACACATGCTGTATGCCATTAGAGAGCCAACAGTACTGCCAGAACTTCTATTCTTAGTGTTGGTCCATTTGCTTTGTTGATTATCGTCCTAACTGTCAAAGAAGTGAAATGGCATTGCTTTGCAGTACCTGCGCTCCATAGTACTAGCTATCACGTTGTTCTTTGTTTCCTTGACAGGTAGAAACTGTTTCTGTTTTTCCTCATGAATGCTTTATGTGTGATACAGAACAGCTCACAGTGACAGCTAAAACATAGCAAGCGGCACTAAAAGACATTTCTCAAATGTGTTTCTTTGCCCTTTCTTCACATTGAAGATGTTAATAAGACTCAGGACTACCTATGTTTTTCTAGGGAGGATAGGATCTTCACTGCTTAAATATCTCTACACTTGTAAATATTACTTCGGTGACAGCAAGCGCGGACTAATTCTGGGCAGACTCTCGGATTTCTTTTACAGCTTTGACTTCAACATATTATTTAAAAAGCTTCTTTCCTGGACCAAAAGTAACATTGTCTTACATATTCATCCATTTTACTGTAGATTGCAGGGAATAAGATTGAGGGAATGGAGCGCTATATGACTGGCCTGGCAATGGGCAAGTGAAGAGTGAGGGAGGGCATGTAAGGGGACAGGAAAAAGCTAGAAATGTGGTGGAGCAACCATTTTCTGCATTGTCATTCTCTTGAACCCCACAATTTGAGGACTCTCTGCCTTCAGCTCTGTTTCTCAAATGCAGATGCTTGTTGGCCTGTGCAGAGCTCTGTGCCATGACTAGACTGCTCCATGTACCTGAGATGTGGAAAGCAATATTTACGGCTACAACGCTGGATCAGCCTCAGATTTGCCCTACTGATACATGTTGCGCTTTTGGGCATCTGGCTGAACACACCAGAGCTCCCTTCTGTTTTGTAAGCCTGCCTTCCCCAAACACTGCAGCACTGGAGAGGTGGTGAAGGGAGGAAGGCATTTCTGCCATGGAGCATGGAAGCATGGACCTGGTCTGGGAAGATGTAAGGTTGGGCATGACCTGCTGAGCCCTAGAGAGCACAGTGAACTCAAAGGCAAGATAGCACCACTTTTTTTCTGCAGAGAATGTTTTTGGCACTTTTTGGTTTCTTTCTTCTTCTCCTTCAGTTTTCCTTATATTAACAACAGTGCAAAACCAGATAATAAAAAATGTAATAAAGGTAAAGAATTTTGCTCTCTCCAACAGGAATTACCTGATTTGTAGATGTTTGAAGAGATTTTTAAAATTGTGAAAATAACCATAAAGTAGTTTTTTAATCAATTAGTTCTCTCCTTTGAAAAAAAAAATGCAGGTACAAAACAAACACGGAAGTTCACATGCATCCATGCATACATGTGCAAGTATAGAGGTCTATAAATTATATTACACACAGGAGCTCAGCATTATTCCAGTATATGCCTATGGATTACATTCCAACTGACTCCACTAAATAGGAAAATTTTGACTACGTCAAGTGGAGTCTAGTTTTGTGTATGTATTTGTAGACAGCAGAATATTTGTGTATTCACAAGAAACTAAAATGCTTTCATTCATAGGCAGGTATACACCAGTTAAATAGCGATGGCCCAATCATGGGCCATTGTTAAGCAAAAATAGCATTTTTAATCTATTCTTAAGATGATTGCATTTTAAGTATATTTCTACTCTATATTTACATGCTAACTTCACCAAAAGCAAATAAATTGAGTAAGAGGAAATGCATCTGCTGTGTACATATTTAATCTCTTCTTTTTTTGTTCTTTTCACACAGAGATTGAAAGATTTAAAACAAAGGGAATTTGCTCGAAATGTGGCTTCAAAGTCATGGAAAGATGAGAAGAAACAGGAAAAAGCACTCAAGCGGCTCCATCAGCTTGCAGAGTTACGGAAGCAGTCAGAATGGCAAGTATTTAAAATTTATATTACGTTTTAATGTCCTCTTTCCTCAGTCCCAGAAGAAATCTCCATATTTTTACTCCTGCACTGTGTAACATACAGAGATTGTGTGCACTGTAACCTCTTTTCAGCTGTCCCCAACTCCAAATGTTCCTGTTCTGCAAACCATAAAATTGAAAGCCCCTGAGTTAATTACTTGCTGTTTGAAGGTTTGTGTTTTTCTCTCCTGTAGCTAGTTAATCTCATCTCTTCTGAACTGAGTGTTTTGAAGATGTTTTTATAATACCGCCATTTTACCTTATTCAAACTGACCTGAATAGATTAGTATAACTGTCTTATCATTTGATAGTAAGCGAACAGGAGAGGAAAAACACCTTTTAGAGCATCTGTACTTAGTCTGTGAATCATTTTCACTACTTTTAGTGTACTGAGATTAATCTCACAGTTTCTTTGTACAGTATTGGAAGTATCATTATGTGAAAGAAAAACAAGTTGGCAACTGAGTTATGTTTATCCAGTACTGTCAGCTCTATTGATGCATATCAAGATACAATACAAAGTTTGCACTAATAAACTTTTACACTCAAGAAATCTCTTTTGTTTAATGACACTGAATGCTTCAGTAGAATAGATTGCCACCAGACCAATTGTTTATGTTAATCTATGACCGTAATGAGTTAAGTAGATAATTAAACTGGCATCCTTTTAATTTCATATCAAGCTTACTGTACCCTGGAAATAATAACATTCAGAGTTTATTATACACTCATTTTGGCCTATGTAATTGCTTTTGAGTAATCTGCTGAAATATAACAGTCTAGTGCTAATGTATCACTTTTATGGTTACAACTCCATTTTCATACAAATGTACTGAAAAAAACGTAACTGCTTGTGGGAAGATGCCTTTATGCCCATGCGCTTGGAAGATGTAGTTTCAGACCAATAAGGTCAGGGATAATAGGAAAGCCAGAGAGATACTGGGAGGGAAAAAGCGGGTTTGCTTTTAGAAAGAGCCAGGAGTCCATGATCTCTTACAAAGAGCCTGGAAAGACAGTGCTTGCTGTTCCTGCTCGCAATGACTAACAGATTCAGGACGACTGAGAGCTGGGATCTTGGCATTCCTGGTTGCTCAGGCAAGACAGAAAGTCAGCCTTTCTAAGCAAAAGTCTACACACATACACAATTGCTATTGTCCCCGGATACTGTGTCTCAGGTTCCAACAGAGTTCCTTACAACAAGCTAATACAATTTGACAACAAAATTACTGTTAATCTCATGCACAGAAAAACTGAAAATGCAGCTTTATTTTGCTCTTCCAAGCATACTTTGAAATGGTCTCTTTACACGCCTTCTCTAGGAGATAATTCCTTCTTGATGTACAAATAGGGGTGAATTCGTATCTCCTGATGCCAAATTTGTGGCAAATGCAAATGTATTCTCAGAAATGAATGCATATTCTCCTACTCCAAGTTGACCCTACTCTAGGGAGTCTTTATGTCTTTCCCACTGCTGAAAATCAATGCATTTTTATAGCATTTATAAAACATGCTAGCCTATTTATATATAGCTGTTATGCAGATCTGGCAGTCATAATTTACATACATTTAATTAAAATATTTTCTAATTTTTAATCAACCTCTTTACTGAAGCTGGTTCCAAAATTTTTTCGTGTAAGTATACTGTAATACTACACTGAGAGCAAACGTAAGTAATTGGTCTAATGATATGCATGTTTAAAATATTACTTGGAATAACACTTGCATGCTGGCTATATATGTTTCATCTCTAATGGAAAATGGCAACAGTCACTCCACTCAGTTAATTATCTATTGCAAGAAATCAATGATTTATCATGGTTTTTAAGGTCGTCTTAGAACAGGTTGATTTTTTTTTTTTTTAAAGTACAAGAAAACTAAACCACAGATTTAAAATCTGAGAGATTTGGGAAGAGGAAAAATGTAGTTAATGGAAGTCGCATACAGAAAGAGAAAATATGGTGAAACAAGTCAAATGGTGGTTGACAATTAGAGCACTGAAGTTGCCATTAATATTGATGGAAAGCCACCTTGTGTCTTTTCCCTATTAAAGTTTGGTGATAGTTTTAGCATTAATATCTCTTTCAATATTTCACAGAGTCATTTATTGTGGAATAATAGAAAGATAAAACAAAAATCATACATACATCCCCCACAAGTGAGCAGAATACTGCCTTTTTTCTTATAGAGTTTAATTCTGCAGATGTTCCAGATGGAAGTGTTTCACTTTGAACAAGGCACAATTTCCTTTGCATTGGCCTCTCAAAAAAACAAGACTTACCACACACCAGATTCTCCTTGGTATAAATTCAGAGTAAAGACATTCTTGTTTATTGTGGACATACATGGGCATAACTGCGAAAAAGAGCATTCATGTGTTGACTTCAAATAATTTAATTTCCTATATGTAAAGGCTATCTTGCCTGTATAGAAGCCCAAGTTCAGGCCTAGACTACACATTTACTCTACAGAAACTTTACGAACTTCGTTTTCCCTTGTAAAAGCATGAGTGACACCCTTCTTTACCAGACAGATGTTGTCAAATGCGAGTTCTGTCTTAGCTTGGTTACTTAATACAGTTTCCTTTTTATTTTGCTTATTACCTTACAGCATCACTGGCAGTGGACCATTACTTAAAGCCCCTAGACCAGTCATGGAAAAGCAGCAATCGCCAGATGGCATTTTCCTGTACAATGGCGGCAAGTTCACAGCCAGTTCTCAAAGAACAGCCATGAGTGATGGACAAGGTTTCTTTGGCAGCGTACTAGAGAAGCAGCAGCTTATCATAAGCAGGCACCAATCCCTTCCTGAAAGACCCCATACGCTTGGAAATCAAGTCTCACAAGCATTTCCAGATAGCACCAATACTTCTCAAAGGGCAGGAGTGTCTTTCTCATTCTCTAAAAAAGTCCCTCTGAAGCTCGAGTCCTCGGCATCAGTCTTCAGTGAGAACTCTGAAGAAGGAAATGATTGTAGTGAAGCCCCCAACCATAAAACAAAGCAAGCTCTTGAAGGCTGTTTTTCTGGCACGCTGTTGGAGGAGGACATGAAAGCAAACTTGGATAAAGGGCCACCTATTACACAAGACCAAATGGGTTTGGATAACAGTGCATCAAGTCATGTAGCTGCAAAATCTAAAATGCTGAAGGAAAATGATAAAAGTAGTGATAGAGAAGTAGAAGAAAAGGCCAGTGCTCAACCTTCATTTTCCAAAGTCAAAATACAGCTTTCAAATTTGGATTTTTCTGGTTCGCTTAGAGAAACAGAGCAAGAGAGCAAATTGAATGAGTCTGAGCAATTGTTAGAAACTCTCGATTTACCTCCATGCCAAGCTAGCAACTTTTGTACACAGCGGAAGATCTACAAGCACAGCAATGCCCACCTGCCTGACCAGTTACCTGAGCTCCCACAACAGCCAGAACCTCAGCTGGCATGTGCAGGCAATGCTAATGACAGTTCTGGGGTGGTAGAAAGAGAAAGATCTTTGGAGAGTTCAGAAACCACAAATGGGAATATGGAAACACTTCCAAGGGAGACCATGGTTAAAGAGGTTAAGCCCCAAGCGTTGCCTTTCCTCCATGTAGTGAGCAAAGATGGCACCACTGCTCTGCAGTGGCCCACAGAACTACTTTTGTTTACAAAAACTGAGCCCTGTATTTCATATGGCTGTAATCCATTGTATTTTGACTTCAGGCTCTCTTTAAATCACAGAGATGGTAAACAGCATGAAACAAACAAAGAAAGCTGTAAAGAGCACTCTATAAATAAGACTGCAGATGAAAATGAAGCCTCAGGTTTAATAAAACACAAGCAAATGTCAAATGAACAAGATAATCAGATGTTGAAACCAAAGAAGATGAAAGGTTCCCTAAATCCAAGAAAGACCAAGCAAAAAGCTGAGTTTTGGAAAGAAATGAATGAAAATGGTCCAAAATGCATTGCAGATTATTTGAATGAAAATACACCCAAAGTGCCTGTTTACCTTGATGTCCCACAAAAGGATTATGTGACAGAAAAAAGTCTTCATACAACACCACCAAGAAGACCTTTAAAGCATCGTTTTCATAGCTGTGAAAGAAAAAAACAGAACTATAGAAATGAAAGCATTTCCTTTTCTGCTTTTATGTCTAGGATTAAAAAGTCTAAAGCTGCAAAATGTCGCTTAATTTATTCCGAGGAAAAACATGAAAATCAAAATGACTGCAGATCCGTGCAAGATGTGGTCAGCTGCAGCAGTGATATAAGTGACAGTGGCAAAGACTCTAGTGGAAGTTTCCTTAGTTATAAATCCAGTTCAAACAGCAGATATTCTGAAAATGAAGGATGTGGAAGTTACACGAGATGCTGGAGATTCTCATCTCCTCAAAAGTCCTCCTCTGACAGACATTCCAGCTATTCTGACACTTCCTTTAGCAGTACGAGTAGCTACATGAGCTACATGAGTCCCCCATTGAAAAATCACGGCAGAAATCATTTACTTTTATGTTGTAAAAGAAAAAGCAAGACAGCTGAAAGACACAAATGTAAACACAGAAAGCACAAGCGTATTTTCACTTCTGATGATACAGACGAGGATTATCTTTGTCGTAGCAGAAGTCACAGAACTAGAAACTGCACACAGAGGTGCACAATTAAATATCAAAGATGTTCAAGACACAAAGTTTTACAACACAGAGACAGATCTAAACATAGCAGATGTAGACAACGGCGTTTTGGCAAAGTGCATAGTAGAAGTAGAAGTTACCATAGCTCCAGAAGTTGTTCCACCAGAGATTCAAGAAGCAGCGAAAGATCATTTGGTAGCAGAATATCAAGAGGCAGCAGTTTGGGATCCTTCTCAAAAGAGACTGACAACTGTGATAATAAAACAAAAGAGGACACAGAAAGAGGTTCTAACACTGAACCAAGAAAAGCTGAAACTGCACATTGCGACTCTCTGAATGCAAATAGTCAGTCAAAAAACTTTGTCACCTGCCCTTCTGAAACCTTGGCAAAAGACGTGTGTGGAAAAAGAAAGTCACTGACAGCCAAATTACTTTTAGAAAGAGTGCAGTCCAAGAAAACCCAAGAACAAATGCACAATTCAGAGAGATTTTCAAAAGCTTGTGGGGTAGAATTAAAGGATGACTCGCGAAGTCACTTTCCTCTTCGTTTTTCATCATCGGTAGATGACATTGCAGTGTTACCTTTGCCAGAGAAACTGCTAAGCATAGGTAAAAATGACATGGGGCATAATGAAATCAGTTCATTGGAAACCAGGGTGAAGAAAGACAACTTCGAAGCATCAGAGATAACTAATGTTGCTCTTTCAACTGGCACTGATTATGATCATTGCCTTTTCAAAGACATCATTCAAATAGGAACAGGCTATCAGAACCCGAGCATAAAAAGGAACACAGCAATAAAGGAACAATCCAATCTCTTCATTAGTGAAGTGCAACCCTTTATACAAAGCTGTGACCCAGTACCAAATGATTTCCCTGGTGCTTTTCCCTCTAATAGATATTCTGTTGTTGCTAATTCAACAGAGACCAAAGAAGAATTACATGATGTAAACATGGACTCGAAGCGGGCAGAAGGCAGTTCAGACTCTCTTTGTGACAATGCTATGCAGAAGTACGATGACACAGTAAATGACTTGGAAGTGTACAGTAAATCCACCTCCCCTCCTTTAACGCAGCAGCCTATCACGTTTTCACCAGAGGAAGTAGACAAATACAGGTTGCTGCAGCTGCAAGCCCAGCAACATATGCAGAAACAACTTCTGGCAAAACACCTGGCAGTTTTGCCTGCCCCAGGACCAGCTGCCTTCTCTGGAACACCAGCAGTTCCTGCCCTCCCCGTTCAGCAGCACTCTACTGTCACCACCATCCACCACACGCTGCTGCAACGCTTTGCTGTCTCTGCATCTGTGCATCCCCACAGCAGCCACCTCTCCCTGGCACACCTCCACCCACTCTCACAGGCACATTTCACCCCCATATCACTTTCCCCATTGGCGCCAGCCCTCATTCCCACCCATCCCGCTTTGCTGACAGGACACCCATTGCACTTGGTCTCCACCGCTCCCCTCCACCCTTCGCCACTGACCTTCCCCACACTGCCACACACTGCATATATCCCAGCCTTATTTACACCGCACCTGAATGCAGCCATGCCTTCTGCTATACATCCAAATCCCTTAGTTCATCCATTATTCCACGGGCAAGAGCTTCATCATCATTCTTGCTCTAGCCAGACCCAACAGTTACCAACGATAAAAGAAGTTTTCAGTGTTTCTAGCTATTTAAACTAGCCCAAACAATTACACCATGGCTCCAAAGCAAAAGTTGAATAAAATAAATTATTTAGTGTTCAATCACGTCAGAAGGGAAATCTACTGTTTTGCTGAGAGCACAATAGCAAGTATCTTAAAGTCCACATTCTGCTGACAGCATATGAATGTTGATTTAGTTCTGGTATCACTGAGTAAAAGCCAGTTTAAAGCTTTTGACAATGTTATCGTAAGGAGGATGGAGTCCAGCTAGTGTCATTCTACTGGCTTGAAAAGAACAGCCTGAAGTGAAATCTGTGACTGTCAGTAGGAATGGGACCACAGCACTCAGACACAACGGGACCAAGAATATCAACACTGATAAGCGATTTAAAGTAGCACAATTTAAGGTAGAGCAATCTTGACACACTTCAAAGATTTGCTTTTTGCATGTGTATATGCAATGGCATTGTGCTCGGTCTGGTTAAGGTACTTCAGACTGAGCAAAAAAGAAGGTATCTGGGACCACAAGTCTCTGGTTCTGTCTCCTGGCCAAAAAAGATGGAGAGCCTCAGAGTGAGGGGTGATGGGTTAACACTGGAAGAAGAGAGTCTCAACAATGTCTCAAAGATACTTTAGTGATTTTATCCCTGGGATATATTGCTTGGAGAGTGTAAAGGGACTGCAGTCTGGCCACAGGTATGTAACAAAAAATTCCCTTAGTGTAGGGGACTCTATGCTGGCACAAGCAGATTGCTGCTTTTCTCCCTGAGCCAAGCATCCAAGAAGGCAAGGGAAAGAAAAAGATGAAGCCAAGTTCTTTGGCACTGCCTGCCTGCGGCTGTAGCATAGGGTATGTCAGGGGTGGGCTGCAGCAGCACAGAGTTATCAAGCAGCTAGTGCTGGCTTTGAACCTCAGAGGTCCTTGGCCAAGACTGCAACACTTCCTTCCTACCAAACGGAGCTCTGACCTGTGGGAGAGTCTTGCCCAAAGAATGTGTAAATATGTTTCATCCCTTTCACAAACAATATAAACTATTGACTGGTCCTATAAAATCTTGCTGATATTCATAAAAATGCAGAAGTAAAATTCTGAGCGGAAACTGGCTCTTCAGGTCAAGTCTCATAGAAAACTGTGCCAGAGTTCTCAGCATTTCAAGGTATATTGAATCTAAACAAATATGTCAAAATTCTCGCATGGCTTCCCAAACTCTCAGCATACAAATTGAAGTTCTGAATCTGCAATTTCTGAATGCATGTATCCAGCCTTCAGGGTGATGCATGATTGAAATTGCTAGTAATAACTATGTATCTGGAAATAGGTGAGGGCTTCAGTATCTCTTTGAATGGCACATTTGACTATTTTTATAACATTTCTAACCCAATGTGAGATATTTAGCATGAAATGAAGTTCATAATTGTGGTTAGACTACAGACATACTTCCCAATATAATTGGACAGTGAAGTGTCCGACAGACAATACCTGTTTGTTTGGATTAGAAACATTGAAATAGTTTCAATTCATTTGCAATAATATAGTACACAATTAATAGTGCGTCTTTCAGAATCAATATAAAACACATCAAAAAAAACTTTGGGAGGATTTTATTCTTCCATTATGTTCAGCTATCTGAAGAAACTGAGAAATCAAATTGTAATTAAGTTGGGTATTTATAATACAACTTAGGACCAATTTTCTAACTTAGTTTTAATCAAACTGGATTGATTCATTGCAATAAAATAGAATTGTTTTAATTTCTAAAAGCAGCTGCTTCAGCATAAACTGGTATTATGCCAAACTTTTCAAATGGCTTTGTAAGTTGTGACTGCTTGTTTTGTGTTTTTGAAGTTAAAGTTTCTTTGGATACTTAACGTTTTAGCCATCAAATAAAAGCTGCCAGGAAAAAATCTGAGGACTGAGCAGAAGTAAAACATTTTTGTATTGAGAAAAGTTGGTGAAACCAGCACCCTCAAATATTGTTTGGTTGGATTCCCAGCTGATTTATTAATTTTATTAACAAAATGGATTCATGCCATTTTGGAATTTATGGTTTTATGGCTTAATTTTCTCATTTTAATTGTAGGGAACTTATTTAATTGAAATTATTGCTTCAGAATTAAGGAATTCAGAAATTTTCTTTGGGAAAGATGTTAAAAAAAAAAATTCCGCAGTTTAAAAATTCATTTTTGGCTGAAAATCTTTCTAAAATTGAGATCTGAATTTACATATAATTTCTAAACTTCTGAAACTTTATTTTCTGAGAATCAAACATATTTCACTGAATGTGACCTAACACCTCCGAAAATAAGTACTTCCTTGCTTGAATGGAAATCCCTCACTCAGTGGACCCCTTGGAAACATTAGTTATAATTCTGTAGAAACACTGAATTGAATGTTCTAAAGAAGGTCAACCTGTGCCCTAGAAGAGGCACTGAGCTGCGCAGCCATCACCACCAGTTCAGGGCTAATACCAGCCTAAAAGATGCATTTCCAGTCCTACAAACTTACATTTATGGGCCCAGTTCCATTCTTATTCAAGAAAAAACAGCAGGTCTCATTGTATATAAGAGCTCATTTGAACTCTAAGTAGATAACACAAGAGAAAAAAGTGGAACAGAAGAAATGACAGGCTAATCTCATCTTTAATGTGTACACGTTTTGTATCCTTGCTTCTTACAGGCAATGTTAATATTATTGAAATTCCTGAAAGAAACCTGACCAATTGAAATTTAACAATATCCTCCTACATAGATTGTTTATGGAAAATAGTTATATATGTTTCTCTTAATGTATGCACAATACAGTGGGATTCTAGGAAGGAACCAAATCATAGGATGTCCATGTATCATTGTATATACCAGCAAGGATGATCTGGTACGGCAAATGAATAGACAATTCAGATTAAATTTAATTCTTAGAACAATAGACGTTGGGATTTCGAGAGGTATTGATGGAAAAAAGAGAGATTAAAAGGGAACAGAAGCAGAACAATAGCAAAACAGCACTCTTTGACTACCAACAAAGGGAATGTCTACTATCATTCTTAGTACAAAGAAGGGGTTTTCTTGGAGAAATGTAATAAAATCAGCAGCACAGCTGAGATGATATATTTGCTCTACTTGCTGCCGTATTTGTTTTTCATCAGTAATGTACTTCAAGTATGTATCATTATTATTATTAAAAGCATAATTGAGCCTGATGTATGGAGCCGTGCTACAATTTTGATTTTATTTAGACTGATTTTTAAGAGTTACGATATCCTGGTGGCAGAGATATATACACTCCAAGTTAATAATCTATTTTAGCTTGATTGTGTATTCTTGATACATAATCCAAGGAAACTGGTCACCCATACTGTAAAATTCCAGTAACAAAAGTTTCCCAAGTTATACAATGATTTTTTTATTTCTTTTTGGTAACTGAGGCACTTCTGGAATACATTTAACATGTATATTTGTTGCACAGATTTGCATAAAAATGCCATTTGACCAGATTGATTTCAAAAGTGTTAAGTTTATAGTTAAAACTGGATAATACTCTGACTAGTACAATATGTAAACTAGTAATTTTGTTTTGTATTCTCTGTATAAAGTGTTTTATATTATACAGTAGCTAAGTGAATTGCACTATTGTACATGCAACGCAGCTTTTTTTTTAGGTTATTCAAGGAATTCCTGGGAATGTAGTTTAATGCAATAATATTTTTTTTCAATAAAAAGGCTTACTGGTATAAAAAGTGTCAGTCATGTATTTTTAATGTAAAGCTTACCAAAAGGCAGCAACATAATAAAATGCAGAATGATGCAAACATATTCTGTATTTTAATCTGCAGAACTGAAATGCATTTAATTCATCCCTGTGGCTATAATCCTGAAATTTCTTAGAATGTTTCCTAAAGATTTTAGTATGTGTAACAAAAGTGGGTCGTTTAAACGGAACTGAGAATAAATATTCCTTTAAAAAATTATTCTATTTATGTGGTTTTTGCAAGTACTTTTAGTGGATCAACATCCTCCTGGGTATTTTTATGCACTAATCAGTTTATTTAGAGTTACACTTACAAGTCACTTGTCAGGTTCCCCAAATAGTATCTCTGAGCTGTGATTCCTAATGTTTGTGTAGAAGGTCCTTTGGTAAAGAAGCTAAAAGTAAGATCTACAAATATATAATTTATTTACTTTTTAATCATTCTTTAAAACTTACTTTAGCCATGATAAGTATCTCTTTATCGTGTGTTTTCCTTTTTACTTTGTATTTTTCCAGTTTGTTTATTGTATTCTTTTCCATCTATCTTTCCTTTATATTGTAAGCTTTCTGACACAAGGTTTTGGGTTTTGTCGTATAGGTACTCAGCTTTGGAGGTCTCAGGCACTGCTACGATACTAACAGTAATTGTAATGGTAGTTATAGCCATCAGTAGACAGTTTTAGAAGTTTCGTGTCCCCAAGTGAGCACAAAGACTGAAGTACTGTAAAAACAAGTGTCTGCATGGGCACATGTAATAGATAAAACTCTGTCTTTTGAAGTGTGCTGTGATAGAGGTTATATTCTCTTAGGTCTATCTGTATGACTAGAAATACTTTGGCATATCTCTGGGACCAAATTAATCTACTATTCATCAACATCTCATGACTCAGGTGTTCTATAAAATCTTGAAATCACAGGAACTTGACAGAGGCATAATCGACACGTATCTAGTTTTTTTTTGATTGTGTTTCTTCGTCAAGTTGTTTCATAACAAAATTCAGAATTAGACAAACTTAAATAAAAAGTGTGACATATCTGAACAGAATCCCCTGAGAATTAATATCTATAATTTTTAACTGTTTTTGAACAGACAGGGATACTGCTTTGACTAGGATGTAATATGTAAAGAAATGAAGTTGTCCACACCTTCCTATTCCTGGTAAACCTAGCTACTAATTACCCTTTCTTAAAGCTTGAATTCCAGATCTGTTTAACAATTGAGCCTAAGCTGAATTTTTTTCTTATTTCTCCCACCCGCCCCCCATACTACACATCATTTGTTCAGGCCAAACCT